TCAAGAGGAAAAACAAAAGCCCAATTGCCTTTTGAAAAAGCCCCTTTGAGACATTCTTCAAAACTCCTTAAAAACAATAAATATTTTTATAGTACAATAAAGACACTTCTATGGGACATTCTTAGATGCTCAGTTCCTATGGCTTGTGAAATGTTAATTTTAACAGGGAGATTTTATGCCTACTTAGAGAATGTCCCATACCCAATTCTCAGATTTGGCAAAGATCTCCCTCCTTTATGTTATCCCTCAAAAAGGTTCTCTTAGCTATTTCCTTTTGGATGAGAAGCATAGATTAATACATTTCAATAAGCATTTTGTAGATTACTATCAGGCTTTATACGATGGCATTTGTCCCCTTACTCAGCATTTGATTCTACTCAGCAAGAAGACTCTCAGATAGATGTTAGTGAGATTTAAATATTTATTCTAGAGAAGAATGAACCCATAAACAGAGTAATTGATTCCCCATGGCAGTGCAAAGAAGTCATATTTTAGCTATCGGTCATCTATCTATCTGCCATCCATCCATCCATCCATCTTATCATCTATGCTCCAGAATTAAATCTGATTTTTTTTCCTCCCATCCTTCTCTTCATCCATCCATCTTATCATCTAAGCTCCAGAATTAAATCTGATTTTTTCCTCCATCCTTCCAATTAAATAGTCTCTGGATTTTCTTGGGAAGCAGGTAAAATATATTTATATAATAGTTCTCTTTAGCCAGGGAACCACTGGCTGCAGTTTTACCATTCTCATACCTTATACTTACCCATTCTAAGTAGCTAGTTATGCTTATTAATTCTTCAGACTTTTAGTGCTTTCATTCTAGTATCATCTCCTATTTAAATTTGCTTTAATTCAGTGGAAATTGCTTCTAAGTAGATAGATTAATTCTAAGATGATTTAATTTGGATTCTTTCCTTCTAAAATTGTTACTGGTTTGATTGATGTCTTATTTTATTGTATTTTATGGAGAGATGGCTATAAATTGTGCAAACAAATAATATGCACATTTATAAGGGTTCAAATAACTGTTAAATACAACAAGTAACAATATTAAGACTGGCTTTCTATATGTAATATGAAGGTTTTTACTCTTTCCATGACACAGTACAGATTTGGTTCCCTCCTGCAGATTTCAGTTACACTGGTCAAATTCCTCCTTTAGGTTATAGGAGTTTCAAAAACATTAATAGAAATATAATAGTTTGATGTAGTGATTAAGGCGCAAGGAAGCAAAGCTTTATGTGCAGATTCATTCTAAAATATTCACTTCATATATTTGTACAGGTAGTCCTCTACTTACAATTAGAATGGAGTCCAAAATTTCTGTTTCTAAGTGAGACAGTGTTAAGTGAGTTTCCCCCCGTTTTATGACCTTTCTTCCATAGTTGTTAAGTGAATCTCTGCAATTATTAAATTAGTAACACTGTTGTTAATTGAATCTGGCTTCACCATTTACTTTACTGGTCAGAGGGTCACAGAAGAGGATCTTGCAACACATGATATGAACCAGTTGTCTAGCATCTGAATTTTGATCATGTGATCATAAAGATACTGGTTGTAAGTGCAAAAAATAGTCATGTTATTTTTTTTCAGTGGTGTTGTAACTTCAAACATCACTAAACAAACTGTTGTAAGTCAAGGATTGTCTGTATCATATTCCCTAATATTTGAATAATATAAAGCATCATGAGCCTTTCCCAACCCANTGATGATATCCTGATATACAGCATGAATATGGCTGACCACGTAAAACTAGTGAGTGAAGTACTAAAGAAACTATTGAATGCCAAACTTTATGTTAAACTATCAAAGTGTGAGTTTCACCATACCCAACTAGATTTTTCACAGCAGCACCGGATTCACATCTTTCAAAGTGGCCACAGGAAAAGAGTTCAGCCCAATATGCGAATATCCTCAAGGATCCTCCGCTTCCCAAACTCTTGATCAGTGGGTGAGGGGGTGAAACGAAGTCTGGAAAACCACGAAAACTGTTTGAAAAGGGCTTCTGAGACATATAAAAAGCAGGCAGATAAAAAAAGGGCTCCTCAAAGGACATTCCAAGTTGGGGAAAAGGTTTATTTGTCCACAAAATATTTATGCCTTAAGTTATCTAGTAAGAAGTTAAAACCGAAGTACTTAGGACCGTTCCCTATTGTAAGGATCATTAACCCGGTCATGGTAGAATTAAAGCTTCCCAGACTCTTAGGGAAAGTCCACCCTGTGTTCCATTGTAGCCTGCTGAAACCTTTTTGGGATTCCACCTTAAGACCTCCCCCTAAGAAGGCACCTGGACCTTTCATAGTAGCAGGATAGACTCACTATGAAGTGAAGCGTATTCTTGATTCTAGATTTTTTTTAAAGGGAAATTGCAGTACTTAGTGCAATGGAAGGGGTATCCGTTGTCTGAAGCTACCTGAGTGAAATCTAGCAATGCAAAAGCTGACAGACTCATTAATATGTTCTATAAGAAATATAAATGGAATAAATAAATAACACAATTGTACAAGCCTGGGGGAGGAAATGATTCAAACTTATGTTTTTCTTTAGCTACAACCCCTTGTTCATGAAATGACCAGCTTCACAGTTATAGAGGTGTTACAAGGAGTAAAAGCTTAGAAGAAGAAAACATCCTTTTTCCCTCTGTTGGAGGAATGTCCTCCTTTTGGTTCATCTCTTGTTCAGGTTAATTGTCCTCACTGTTAGAAAGTTTCTCCTTAGTTCCAGGTTGCTTCTCTCTTCGATTAGTTTCCATCCATTGTTTTTTGTCCTGCCTACAGGTGCTTTGTTAAATAAATTGACCCCCCTCCTCTTTGTGGCAACCTCTCAAATACTGGAATACTGGAATATCATGTCACCACTAGTCCTTCTTTTCTGTCAATTATTCTTCTGAAAGAGCAACATCCAGAACTGCATCAACTGTCCAGGTGTGATCCCATCAGTGCAGATCACAGGAGAAGAAGGATTTCATGTGTATTGATCTGTAGATACGGTTGTACTATAAAGCTGCAGTCCTACACACTTTTATCTGAATGTTAGCCCCGTTGATCTCAATGTTATTTCCTTTTAATAAGCACATACAGGCCCATTATACACAAGGTATCTGTAGTTTGCTAGGGCATCTGTAGATTTTTGTCAAAATGAGGGAAGCAGCATTGTAATATGCATCACGAGTTGGACCTCTTTCATACGTGTGGCTAATGATATCACACATATACAAATATGAGATTTTTGACATAACAGTGTAATACTGTTTGCACATTTGCCTCCTTTGTGGAAAGCCTTCACTATAAAGTTTCTTTGTGCTAGTGGTCATACAGAAGAGAACATTTGGTATGGATTAGAACCAAGAGCTTATTTCTTTTGAACCTGGGGGTGAATTTCTCTATTAAAGCAAAATAAAATTTATAAGGAATTCTGTTATCAGGAACAATAGAAGCTTCTTAGGCATTATCTTTCATAATTGCTCAACAAATTTTGCATAGAATAAGACAGTAAATTCTTATAGGTAAGTATACTTTTTTATTCTGCAAGAGTTCGTCCACTTAAAAATAAGTATGTAATATCAAATATGTAAATATCCGTAAGAGGTGAAAGGAATGAATGGTGTCCTAAAAGCAGCTTTTTTTCAGACTGTTGGACTCCAGCTCCTGTCAGTTTTGATTCATCACATAACCCAACCAATAGCTATGTTGGGATTATCAGAAATGGCATCTGGCACATCTGGAGACCAAGGAAGGCACTACCAATTCTTCTTGAACAACCTAAGTATGTTTATCCTCATGCAGAGAATCAGAACCTGAGAGATGTGTAGCACTGATGGTTTCTTTAGTTTTTGCAGTACAGCTCATATTTCAACATCATCCCAAGCTTAGTTTTTGCTACACTCTCCTCAAATTTTCTGTCCATTCTTTCACTCTGGCTTTCTGAGAAGACAGATGTCCAATCACCTATTATGCCTAGAAAAAGAAAAAGAAAAAGAAAGAAAGAAAGAAAGAAAGAAAGAAAGAAAGAGAAGAAGAATTACATTGGTAGGTGGAGGGTGGGAAGCTAAGGGGAGAGAAAGTCTTTCTCCCAAAGAATAGCTATTCTTCAAACCTCTGTGGAGAGGTCATCCAGGTCATAGTTGTCTCAAAGGGGCTTTTTCAAAAGGCAATTGGACATTTTTTTCCCGTGAGGAAGAAAAAGACATTTTGCTTCTCATCCAAGAAGTTTCATCGGTTCTGGAAGGATGGTAGGGGTGATGGAAGGAATTAGTCTTCTTCTTCCTCAAGAGGAAAAACAAAAGCCCAATTGCCTTTTGAAAAAGCCCCTTTGAGACATTCTTCAAAACTCCTTAAAAACAATAAATATTTTTATAGTACAATAAAGACACTTCTATGGGACATTCTTAGATGCTCAGTTCCTATGGCTTGTGAAATGTTAATTTTAACAGGGAGATTTTATGCCTACTTAGAGAATGTCCCAT